GGGATGAGCCCCGCTTCGAGCGATACCCACAGAGAGAAGGAACACGACCATGGGATGAGGGAGATCTGACAGAGCGGTATCACTATAAGGAGGATGTTGATGACGATGATGGACCTTGGCATGACGTGACGCTGCCACCACCGCCACTGACGAGGACCTACAATGTGGCGGCGCCTCAGGTATGTTCATCTAACAAGAAACCGTTTTGCTTGTCGTAAGTGGAGAGCGTAGAATTGGTGCTGAATGGCGAGAGAGTGAGAATGGAGTTACACCCGTGATATGAAAAAGACTAGTGAAAAACATATTTCACGACTATTGCATAGCGCGAATATCGCGTTTTACGCCACTTCGCGTAAAACGGGTGAAACTCAAATGTAGGGAGTAGCGTCATCGGAGCTGTAGCCATCGAGTGGCTCTTCATCGCAACAACAGCCAACCTGTGTTCCTCATAGCTCTACATGGTCGTCGATAACTTCCAATAGAACGACCTCCTATATGAGAGGGAAATGCAGTGGATACAGTTCTTCATCAGGATGATATCTTTGTTCCTGAGCATCCTTCTTCGAGACGATACAGTAATGATATCGTGGTAGACAGACGTTCCCGAGGTGGCGGGGGCAAAGGCTCAGGAAAAGGGAGGTTAAGGTAGCCACCTTTCTGCTGCTGGTCGTGGATGGTGACTTGATGCGTTTCAGGTCCCACGGTGGTAGAAGATCGAAGAAACGAAGGCGTGTGGGATCATCTAATATGATGGAAGAGGGCATGTCGGAAGACAGTTATGGTGGAGAGAGAGGTATCCTCTACGACAGGCCAGCGGGCCATGACTTTGACTACTATGCTAAGCAACAGTAGGTGGGTTCCTAACGTTAAAAAGGCTCATAAATTTTGCCGAATAAATTCGCTTTGACTACTCCCACCAGAGCCACAGCCGGTTGGGATGGCTGCCCTTCCGCTGTGTTTGGTTGATCTATTCTGTGTGATATTTTCTATCTGCGCATGCTTTGCGTTCAACCCGACGTGCTCATCAATCGCGCGCGCCCAAAAATCATATAAGCCACCAGGACATCAAATTCACCGGTTTATGGTATAGTTCCTTATCTTATTAAAAGTTGGTGTATTTGGTAGTGTTTCCTATCGTTATACAGCTCTTCGCGATAATCCGCGATGGTTAGTTTCCTAAGCTTCCACATCCAAGTTGGTGAGTCGTGTCCCCTCGAGACCAACACAACGTATTTTCCATAACGTGCCGAGGCTCCTCCCGGGTATCTCGCGTAACTCTCGACGTAGAGATTATTATGTGGAAGAAGCGACAAGTCACTGACCGCGATGTGGTGCCACATCGGCGAGGTGACTTTCTTTGAAGGAGCTGCAAATGTTTAGAGGATACTATGATCCCTCCTTCTCTCCTACCTGTTCCCTTTGTATTATCACTATGTCAGTGTGGAAAAATATGCACATGGTCAACCCATGTGTCGGCAACAATATCAAAATTTTGAGGAAATTTTGGGAAAGTCTTGTTGGTTTCCGAACACATCTACGCTAATTCGTATATCAACTCTTATAGCGAGTAAGGAAACTCCTGAGCTGAACTGAGGAGAGCGAACATATATTCCGACACTGCAATACGGGTAGCATACAGC